ACATATTTGTACCTGCAGGTTTGGGCACATGAGCGGTGGGTGACATGCTAAATAATTATGAATAATTAAAACCAATTTTAATAACTTTCACTTGTATTGGTTGTTTAAATCCAGTCGTTAATGTATTTAGTCAATAACAACAACATAGAACTTCGTACATACGTACGTACATCAGTTCAGTTCAAACTGCCATACTATATTAGCACACAGAGATGGAATTGTCACTTCAAATCCCCATAGGAGTAGAGGAAGTAGAAGTCGGTGTTTGAGCATGAGTGTAACACATGTCCTAAACACCTCGACTGATGAAGTTTCAATACTTTATCTATCCATCTGCCATCCTTACATAGTACTTTCCCAGGATACAGAAACAATGACCGTAACAACACACAAAACTAAATCGGTCACAATCAAATGCTTCCTACACCTCCTAACGCCTCTCTTACCTCCACAACTAGCCATTCTTCCGTTCTTTTATCACCCTGAGCCGTTAATGCAAACGATTTAAGTTCATGAAACGTCCTTCTTTATCCCGTCAAACCCTGTTCTAAACTACATGGTGCCAAACAGGCTCCCTTAGCCTAGCACCATCGATGTATGCTGCGTCTCCGAAACGCACATACAGGAACTGAGTAAAGTGATCAATTTGACTTCACCTTGTCCAGATCAAGGACCAACCGTTAATGCTATGAACTGCAAATGATATCTTTCCTGGCAAAAGTGAATCTTGTTGGTATTGCCTCGATAATACCATTATGTTGGTACATAGATGGAATTAAAGCATGACTACGTTGCTACGCGCTGATTGGCTAATTTCCTATCCAATCAGCGCCTGATCGATTCTTGGAGAACAGGGTAGAAAATTCTCGTGTTGTTAGCTGCACGCTGATTGGCTAAATCGGATCCAGTCGATCACGTGAATTTCTGTCAAGAAGCTTCTCATGCAAAGACTATAAAAAAACTAACGTTGTATCTGTTTTGTCTTCGCCTTCTATTTCCATTTAACCTTGTTGCTACTTGGAATATAGTCTTTTCCTGTTCCACCGTGTTTTTGATTCTTTAGAACTTGTCCAGTGTATTCTGGTCGGAGAATACTAAGCAATAGGATTTAGCTGGGAATTATATAAGCAAGCGTTACAACACATTAAGTCACAAGCACTCCACTGTTAGCCACTATTTTTAACTCCACTTATCAAATGAATGCGTTTTAATATTAATATCAAGGTAATCCACCCACGAAATGCATATCCTACAACACCAATCACACACACTTACAGTCTGTAATAATGAATCAGAATATTTAAACAACAGATACAGCTGATAGAAAAATTCACCTTGTTGGATATTTGGCCTCAATGACTATGAAGTGGATATTGAGTTCGATCCCACGTATGAATATATATCAACACTGAGGTTCATTCAAATAGACTCAACTAACACATACCAAATAACATGTGAAATGCACATCCCACATTCTACTGCACTAGTAGTCACTATTCATTTTCAACATAACTGACTAGCGTAATTCACCTTCGATTATGGTATATATATATATATCAAAAGACCGAAGGTCCTGGGTTCAAATCCTGCGAGGTGCAGGAGTCGTGTATGCTCACTGCTGAACCCCATACCAGGATGAAACCACCGTCCAGTGCTTCCAGGTTTCGAATGGTGGGCTCACGATGACCAATTCATGACTTCAATGTGTAACTTAACGATATTCACAACCCCGTAATGCAATATATATAAACATACTGATTTCTTGGATACTTTGTTTTAGTTGTCTCAAGCTTGCTTTAAAACTTACTTTCAATCCATTTTGTGCTGATCAACTCAGCCAGTCTCATTCGAATGGCTAAGAAGCAACGTCTCAGACTGTGTGATGCGTTATTTGATCTACTGTGTAGTACCAGATCCCGAAACGCGATAGGTACCCCTTCTTGACAAGTGCCATGTAGTACGAAATCTAGGTCCTGGGTTTCTAATTAGACTTTTTCTCCTGGAGTTGCTATTCGCACGTCTTTAGACCTTGTCCACTATTAGCTTATGTCATGGTTGTGTCTACTTGAGTGCGTGTATGCATTGCTTACTTTGCCTGTCACAACATGTCTAGCCTATTTTTACCTGACTATAAACATTTAGTCATGCCTCATCGCATGGAGTTGGATCAGTCCATTTGACTTTGGTTTGTTTTTAGGCTTTTTATTTTCATGTCTCTGTCTGAGTGAACGATTGCATGAAATAAACTCATCCAAGGTGAATTTGTATTTAGCTTCTTATTGATGCCGTCGTACAGTCAGAGATCACCTTAGGTATGTATGATTTACTTCATAGCATATTCATATGTTCGTTGAAATTGAAGTCAGCTTCTGGGTCAAAAAAAGCCGTGATTTTTTAAAAAAAAACATGATATTACTCAATGATCGATTTATTGGCTTTTTTTTATGTATTTTGTCGATCAAAAGTTTTACAACCTAAACTGCTACATATTTGTACCCGGTGGTTTGGGCACATGAGCGGTGGGTGACATGCTAAATAATTATGAATAATTAAAACCAGTTTTAATAACTTTCACTTGTATTGGTTGTTTAAATCCAGTCGTTAATGTATTTAGTCAACAACAACATAGAACTTCGCATGTACACCTCGACTGATGAAGTTTCAATACTTTATCTATCCATCTGCCATCCTTACATAGTACTTTCCCAGGATATACGAACAATGCCCGTAACAACACACAAGACTAAATCGGTCACAATCAAATGCTTCCTACACCATCTAACGCCTCTCTTACCTCCACAACTAGCCATTCTTTCGTTCTTTTATCACCCCGCGCCGTTAATGCAAACGATTTAAGTTCATGAAACGTCCTTCTTTATCCCGTCAAACCCTGTTCTAAACTACATGGTGCCAAACAGGCTCCCTTAGCCTAGCACCATCGATGTATGCTGCGTCTCCGAAACGCACATACAGGAACTGAGTAAAGTGATTAATTTGACTTCACCTTGTCCAGATCAAGGACCAACCGTTAATGCTATGAACTGTAAATGATATCTTTCCTGGCAAAAGTGAATCTTGTTGGTATTGCCTCGATAATACCATTATGTTGGTACATAGATGGAATTAAAGCATGACTACGTTGCTACGCGCTGATTGGCTAATTTCCTATCCAATCAGCGCCTGATCGATTCTTGGAGAACAGGGTAGAAAATTCTCGTGTTGTTAGCTGCACGCTGATTGGCTAAATCGGATCCAGTCGATCACGTGAATTTCTGTCAAGAAGCTTCTCATGCAAAGACTATAAAAAAACTAACGTTGTATCTGTTTTGTCTTCGCCTTCTATTTCCATTTAACCTTGTTGCTACTTGGAATATAGTCTTTTCCTGTTCCACCGTGTTTTTGATTCTTTGGAACTTGTACAGTGTATTCTGGTCAGAGAATACTAAGCAATAGGATTTAGCTGGGAATTATATAAGCAAGCGTTACAACACATTAAGTCACAAGCACTCCACTGTTAGCCACTATTTTTAACTGCACTTATCAAATGAATGCGTTTTAACAGTAATATCAAGATAATCCACCCATGAAATGCATATCCTACAACACCAATCACACACATTCACAGTCTGTAATAATGAATCAGAATATTTAAACAACAGATACAGCTGATAGAAAAATTCACCTTGTTGGATATTTGGCCTCAATGACTATGAAGTGGATATTGAGTTCGATCCCAGGTATGAATCTATATCAACACTGACGTTTATTCAAATAGACGTGAAATGCACATCCCACATTCTACTGCACTAGTAGTCACTATTCATTTTCAACATAACTGACTGTTAGTTATTTCCATAACTAATTGTAGTTATGCCATAACTAACCAATCAGATTGTGGTTTAAGCGCCTACCACGTGATCTTACCTGACGTGTCTGTAAACCTTCTTTGTTGTAAATGATCTACAAATTGATTGACATTATTATCTTATTATTATTGCTGTGACTCATAACTTTACTCATTTCTATAAGACACGCTGTGGTGTGTGCTACTTATACGAACGATATAAGTAGTATAAGAAGGGACGTGAAAGATGAAGTTTCACGGTCAGAAGAGGAAAACGGAAAGCAAATGGAGCAAAAGCAAGAAATAAATAGAGTACCAACAGAGGAAGTAAAGGAAGCAACAGCAGGAATGGAAGAAGTCTGGAGCGTTGGAAGTCACGGCTCAAAGATGGTGTGCAAATAGAGTGTTCAATGTAATGTTGTCGTTTTTAATTGACTAACAGTGTAAATTCGCATAATACAATCTTCAGCGCCTGCCTCAGTCTTCTCAACGCTATATTGGTCGGTACGTTTGCTCGTCTTACTTGATAATTGTAATTTCCTTATTTACTGTACTAATGTAATTGTTTTTATGTTTAGAAAATGATAAAGTTTAAAGCAAAGTTTATCTTCTTGTAGCTGTAGCTTCCCCATAGACTTTGTGCTCGCCAATATTTCGTTTACCGTTCTAGAATTACATATGTAGGACAAATTAAATCCTATACTGACTAGCGTAATTCACCTTCGATTAGGATATATATATATATATATATATATATATATATCACAAGAACAACATCATAGCAAAATAATAATATATTTTTTGTATTAAAACAACATAAGAGAAAATAATTCAGCAGTAATAAGCAAAAATCATGATTGATTGATTGATTGATTCGTCGCGTATGCGCGCATGTACGTATTTGTGTGTATTCCCAATGGGATGAATGAGCAGAAAAAAGTCCAACCATAATTATGAACGAATAATCCACCCATACAGTAAGAAAAATAATAACAATGTTTATTGATAGAATTACTACTACTACTACATAGAAAATATTTCATTGAATCAAAAATAATTGTTTATTCATAAACGCGCCAAAATCATAAAAAAATCAATCGTTTCATGAATTAAGTTTTTTTTTAAAAAAAAAATAATAATAATATGAAAATGTAAGAAATATCGATTATTACATTTTCGCACCACAAACAAGAAAGAAACAAAAATAATAATAGTCATACAATGAATTTTTACAATACTGGATCAAAACGTACACCTAAACTTTCGATACCACATTCATCGGTACCACGACGTATTCGAAAATAGCCTTGTTCACCCCATTCTGGACCCCAACTATTTTTTATTTTCCAATATAATTCACCGGATGATTTGTCTACACCATAACCAACTAACAGAACAGCATGATTAGTTAATTCGAATGGATTGAAAGTGTATTGATCATTCTGAAAACATGAAAGAAAAAACAGAATTATAGGAAAACGAGCAATACAAATGTATATATCATCACAACACTCTACGGTTAGGGATTTGATGATGGTGAACAAGAAGAGAATCTTTAACGATGCCAGAGGTCCGGATTTTTCGACAGTCCGCCTCATGGTTTGGTGCGAGCTACTTATAAGTAGTATATGACGTGAGTGTCAACGTAATATCTGGCAGCAGAAGATGGGGGAAGATCAAGAAAGGAAGAGTTAGAAGGACACAATGGAATTTGTATGAAACGCATGAATAGTAGTGACAATGGATTGATGTTTTGCAACAGGAACAGTCCAGTTCGATATGATGAACTGATATTTTGCAAATTAACGCTTTACGATATGGTTTTCCGATTTTACTGAGTAACTCTGTAATTTTCGTTAAATACAATTCGGTTGCCCCACCTGTATTCTCCTTCACTACAATGGAAGAATATTTCTCCTTGAGAGAACTAACAAAGAGGCTGGATTAGTGTATTAGTAGTTGCAGAGACCTGGGAGCTTGACCTCAACGCTCAAGAGACAACTGCTTGGAGCCGATCACATATAATAATCTCTTTCTGAAAAAGATATTTTTTTGTTTTGCTTAGTTCTTCAAGGAGGGGATCCATGTACCGTTCCTTTTAAACCCCTTCGTTTTATTGGGGTAGTTATCACTCTAGATGTTGATTGCTTGGAGGGTACAACTTACTGTCTTTACACTACAAAAACAGTCAGCAATCCGATTTCACCTTCAAACCATAAATTTTCTGCATTTTTTCTCTTACTACAACTGACCTGCATGACATGACAAGATTTGAAGGGATTAGTTTCAGACAATATAGCTCGATCGAAATCACTACAATAAGCAAGTCCGATCATCAAGTCAAGATAACAGCGATGATCATAAAATCAAAGGAATCGTTTTCTTCTAGATTTATCATCAGTTCAATGCACAACAAGTCTGTACACGGCTTCGAGCTGAATTTTCTCATTTGTATGAGACCGTTTAATAATAATGTCCACTTGGCTATTAAAACAGAAGTGGGTGAAATAGAGCTCACACAATGATCGCCTGAATAAAATAAATTCAAAGCAATAACTAGGTAGTACAAATTTGTGTTATAAGCTGTAAACTACACGGTTTATAGTAAGTATTCAGTAACGATGATACCTAGAAAAGATTTCAACTTGTGATCTAACCAACAGTTTTGCATATAGTTGTAAAAAATAGTGATTCAGACGCTAAAGTTTCCAGTATAAAACCCAACTTATCATGGTGAATCTTCATTAGTTAAGAAAGTTATAAGCATAGGCGAGATATCCGTTTGCTGACTAAAGGACGAGTGTACTGCGCAGTAGTTCGCTCCGTCTTACTTTATGGCTGTGAAACATGGCCAGTGAGAGTAGAAGATATTCGTCGGTTATTGGTTTTCGATCATAGGTGTCTTCGAAGCATTGCTCGTATATCCTGGGACACCTGAGTGAGCAACGCTGTTATTAGGAATCGGGTGCTAGGTAAGAATGGCAGATCAATAGATGAAGTAATGAAACTTCAACAGCTGAGGTGGTTGGGATATGTGTTGCGTATGCCTAACCACCGACTGCCTAGAAGAGCTTTGTTTTGTCGTGTAGAAATAGGTTGGAAGAAAGCTAGGGGCGGCCAAATCAAAACATGGTAGAAATCCATAAAGTCATTGACGAGTGGACTTAGCCATGTCGGTAGTTGTCGACTACCTGGTTGGGGTCCGCGAGATCATAATAATCGATGGTTAGAGACCTTGAATGACATGGCTCATAATCGTTCGCAATGGCGCCGGTGCATTTATTCTTTGTGTTCTATCAAATCCTAATCTTCTGGATTCTCCAACCCCTCTAGTTTTGACTTTCTAAACTTTTCTCACTGAGTCATACTTCTTGAATAATATCTTCTAATCCTAACCTCTCCGATTACTCCTTATACCTTTACTACCTCTTCTACTATTGGATTTGAATTGACAATTACATCTCTGTGCTAATGTGGTATGGCAACCTGAACTGATGTACTTACGTACAAAGTTCTACGTTGCATCTGACTGATTGACTGAAGAAAGTTATAAAAGTATTCCAAATATTTTACCGAACCTATAATGTGAACTTCAAATGTTGGGCAAATTGTAGAAACGATAAAAAGAGGCATAAAAGAACCAAAAAAACGTAGAAATAAATTACTTTATTCATTTTTAACTAGGAAAATAACGCTTGATAATATATGTGATATGGGAACTCTTAGAATAGATAGGTTTTAGCTAACAGTGCAATTAAAAACATGGGCTACGTTTTATTAAAAACTTCCCAATTGAATATAGTTGCATTCAATTGTTGATGGTCCACATTGAAACTTGAACCTAGTAGTACATGTTGCTTCATAAGCCAACAACACTATTGACTGAGTCCCTGAAACTCAGGTAGTCAGTCAATGACCTGTTCACGAAGACGAACTATCCCGTTCGAAAAACTTATGATAAAATGGTCATATCGAAGCGATTAGCACAGAACACAAGTAAGTAAGTCAACTAGGACAAATCAAAATCTAGTAGTCGTCCTTAATATCAAACACCCAGATAATTCAAATATTTACAAGATAAACAATGTAAGACAACTAACTAACTACTAATCTTAACTCAGTGTTTTTTTTTACACTGTAGATATGATGTGATATAGCGTTGCAATCTGTATTATAAGTTCTTTGAAACTACAATTATCATTATTATTTAAACACATAAATATTGCCAGTTCCATGGCAGGTCTATCTGCCATTTATTTCCTAGAGCCTATGTGCATCATTGGTTTCGAATGCGAGTCCGTATCCACCAGTCCGGACATTCGGTTTTTGTCCTCCTAACTTTTTGTGAACAACACTTGTGAGAAGGTAGTAAATAGGACTTCTCAATCAGAGGCTATATGAAAGTATTTCAAGCGAGAACGAACTCTCCTCACTCTCGACCATACCACAGGGCATTTAGGCGATGATGAAGCAGTGAAAGTCAGTCAGAAACCATATTGTTAATAACTGTTTATATTGAGGCATTTGAAGAGTTTTAAAGATTATCTAACAGAACTGACACATATTTCAATAGTTCAATTTATATCAAATGTCAAATCCAAATCGATATACACATAAAATAATACTAACAGCAATAAGATGTGAGAGTACTAAGATGAAAGGTTGAGAGAGAGAGAGATAGAGGAAATTTTTTCAGTGAAACTGTTAGGATATTCATCCAACATCCTAAGATAATTGTTCGTAAGTATCATTCTTCTATTGGTCAGTATTATAGTCGTCCTAACTACCAATGTCATCACATACTTCAAATGTTGTCTCCTATATTCGACTTAACTGTATAAATACGCATTATCTGTAATGTTTCATGACTCGGATCCCTAGTTCGGGATCCTGATCCTCATCTAGACTCGGACCTCGTACTTTCTGGATGCTTGTAGAGAATACATGTTCTACGCCATATCAAGTCTTCTTCTTTTACTCAATGCGGGGGGGGGTTTGGGACGCTCAGATTAGAGTAGCAGCCTGTCGTATCACCAGACCCTAAAAATCCTCGCTCTCATTTTCCAACTAAGATAAACTCGTAATCAGTTCAAGCATATCAAGTTGACGTGTTTACATGCATGCGTAACAGAAACAACAACAAGAGATTAAAAAACGAGGTTAACAAACACACTAACTTGAATATTTGTATGATGATAGATACCTGCCCTGTACAGTTGAAAATCATCATACACTTCAAAACCGACAGGAAATGGACCATTATTAACAAGTTCTAATTTCATTAATTCTTCATTTGTCGCACCATAATAACCACCAATATAACCATAATCTGTTGTATAATAACGTGTACAATTTTTTGGTACAGTACACTTATTCCCATCATCACCGGTGTATGGATCACATTGTTCTGAAACAAATCCAAAATCTTCACCGTATTTACCAGCAATTAAGTAAGGAAAACCTCCATTGCATCCTAAATATTTAAAAATAGAAATTATCATGAATGCATACAAAAAAACAATTGGAAATTATAAAAAAATAAGCACTTATCATTGAAGTATTGTAGTTGTTGGAATTCAAGCATGACTACGTTGCTACGCGCTGATTGGCTAATTTCCTAACCAATCAGCGCCTGATCGATTCTTGGAGAACAGGGTAGAAGATTCTCGTATTGTGAGCTGTGTGCTGATTGGCTAAATCTAATTCAGTCGATCATGTGAATTTCTATCCGGAAGCTTCTCATGCAAATGCTATAAATAAACTAATGTTGTATCTATTTTTGCCTTCTTCGCCTTCGCCATCGCCTTTGGCTTCTTATTCCATTTAGCCTTGCTATTTTGGAATATAATCTTTTCCTGTTCAACCGTGTTTTTGATTCTTGGGAACTTGTCCAGTGTATTGTGGTCAGAGAATAACTAAGCAATAAGATTTAGCTGGAAATTATCTAAGCAACCGTTACAACAGTAATGAATAATATAACAATTTAATAATCCTATCTGACTTAAATGTTCGCCTATTTTATACACTAGTCAAATGAACCGTTTTGGATGCCGGCCGGCCCAGTGGTCCGATGGTTAGACGTTCGCGCACAATACCAAGCGTCCCGGGTTCGAATCCTGCCTGCGAGGTGCAGCAGAAGTCGTGGATGCGCACTGCCACTAATGAGTAGTCCCATACCAAGACGAAACCGCCATCTTTCAGTGCTTTCAGGTTTCCTCTAATGGGGTGGTCTAACAATGATTGATTGATGACTTCAAAAATGTGTAAAAAAACACAAACCTCCAAAACTCTGCCCCAAAAATGCATATTAGCGTCATAATAAAACGATAAGTGTGAGTGAGTTCGGTGAACATTCGGTATGAACGATGTATTTTCTCTTGTTATATTAAAATCCCTGATACATGTATGATGAAATGTCGATATGGATTGAGAAAGCTCGGTTGGCTTTTGATGTAAATTGTATTACTTGTGGCAGAGGTGTGATGGTTGTTTGTCAACCGAAGGACGAGTTTACTGCTCAATAGTTTGTTCGGTTCTAATCTATGAGTGTGAAACTGTTGGAGATGTTAGATCCCCAGAACTCGCTTGATAAATGCCTTATTTCGGCTTTCAAGTTTGCGAGCATGGGCTAATCAGTTGACCTTGAAATTTCATTTCTCACCAGGAAAATCCATGACTATGATTGGCTGTTGCGTATTTTAGTGTGTGTGCTATTTTCGTAACTGTCCCAAGGATGTTTCTATGATGTATAAATAAACGAGAACTGTGTGCTTGATTGTATTGTGTGATTGCTGGGTGTTTGTAGAATATACTTTCTATGCTTAGCAATACTTCTGTTTACAGCTTAGGATTCAAGGTAGCCTATCTGGACGCTGGTAATTGTCTCGTTCGCATTTATCGACTAAGTTGAACTCGTAAGAGCTTCAAGCATACCTAGTGATGAACACAACAGAAACATTAGGAATTGAGGATATTCAATCAATGGTATATTGGAAGCATTGCTAGTGCAATTTAGAGCCAACGGGTAAAAAGACAGGAATTCGGTTAGTGAGGAGGCAGTGAATCCTTCCTTTTCAGCTGACGTGATTGGTATATATTATGTATTACATAATCAGGAAGACTGGTTAGTCAGTATAAGGAATAAACAATAAACAATTGAAAACTTCATTATAATTAAGAACAAGTAATACAAATAACAAGGTAATGAAAAATACCTTCAGAATAAGGGCTACAATCAAGTACAGCTTGAGGAGATATAATAGGTTGTTCAGTAAAATTACTAACCAAACGAATACGAGCTTCGAGTGCAGCAGCTGACGCGAATGCATAACAACTTCCACATGATTCTTGGTCACGAACCGGTGTAACTGGACTTCTAGAACCATCTGGTGGATTAGTCCAGTCAAATTCCAACGGAAGATTTTTAGTTAATGACAGCAGTTCTTTTGATGGATTTTTTGCATTTTGTATTGGAGGTCTGAAGAAAAAGAGAAAATTTGTGAGATGATGGAATAAGGTTATCGACTAATTAAAAAATTCCAAGATTTTCAAGATCTCAAGATCTACGCAAAATACTTCGTATTCGTTGGCCAGACATCATCAGCAACAACTAACTGTGGGAGAGAACAAACCAGATTGCAGTGAAGGAGGAAATCAAGAAGAAGCGGTGGAAGTGGATAGGACACACACTACGAAAAGCACCTAACTGCATCACAAGACAAGGCCACACTTGGAGCCTCTAGGCAAAAGTAAAAGAGGAAGGCCGAGGAACACATTACGCCGAGAAATAGAGAAAGATATGACTGGTTCACGGTTTTTTTCTAATCAGAATGCAGTTATTTATCCTTTTTAAATAAGGCTAAACATTAGTTCAAATACGAAAACCGAAATAATATGGTGTTTATTAGTGCTAACAAACACGAAGCCTTAGTCTATTTTTGTAAATCACGTAGGACAATCAAATTGTGGTGCGAGCTACTTGTAAGTAGTATATGACGTGAGTGTCAACGTAATGTCTGGCAGCAGAAGATGGGGGAAGATCAAGAAAGGAAGAGTGGGAACACAATGGAATTTGTATGAAACGCATGAATAGTGACAATGGATTGATGTTGTGTTTGCAACAGGAACAGTCCAGTTCAATATGATGAACTGATATTTTGCAAATGAACGATTTACGATATGGTTTTCCGATTTTACTGAGTAACTCTGTAATTCTCGTTAAATAGAATTCGGTTTCCCCACCTGTGTTCTCATTCACTACAAAATAACTGAACCGAATTTATGATTTCTGCTGAAATAAAGTACAAAACAAAGAGAAACTTTACAGATCTCCTCTCTATTAACTAACATGAAACTGTGCACGTACCTTAAGATAGACAGACAGACAGGTAAAACACAGAACTTTGTACGTAAGTACAGCAGTTCAAGTTGCCATACCACATCAGCTCAGAGATATAATTGTCAATTCAAATCCCATTGTAGTAGAGGTAGTAAAAGTATTCGAAGTAATCAGAAAGATCAGGGTTCGAAGATGTTATTCAAGATGTATAATTCAGTGAGGTGAATTTAGAAAGAGAAAGACACAGATTATGAGGAATTCAGAAGGTTAGAATTTCATAGAACACAAAGAGTAAATGTACCTGCGTCATTGCGAACGGTTTAAGCCATGTCACTCAGGGTCTCTAACCATCGATTATTATCATCTCGTGGACCCCAATCAGGTAGTCGACAACTACCGACATGACTCAGTCCACTTGCCAGTGACTTCATGGATTTGTGTTATGCTTTGGTTTTGGCCGCCTTTAACTTTTCTCCCAACCTACTCCTACACCTCAAAAATTTAATAACTCGTCGAAGCAGTCAGTGATTATTAGACAGTCATAACACCACCACCATCCAACATAAAATTGAAAAAAGAAATAAACTTTAAATTCATATAAACTCCGCCAGTAGAACCTTAGGGGCTACTGCCGGTCCCAAGCCCGGATAAAGGAGGAGAGTTGGACATGGAGTTGGCGACCCCATTCCGTCGAAATCTAAACTTACCAAAAAAAACGCTAACCAGAAAAAATAATCCAAATCATTTTAACTCTGCCCTGGGAGTTAGAAGAAGAATTATGACGTCGCGTGATGAAAGTCAAGTTCCCTCGGAACATTGGACAGAATTGGAAAAGGAAGCCCAGGACAGAGTTAGTTGGTTGGAGAAAACTGGTTGGCGGCCTATACTCCATTGCAGGTAACAGGCGTAAATAAGTAAGTAATGAAATCAATTCTTTGATATTTTTTTTTAACTGATGATCATTGATTGAGTTGTGAAACTAATTAACGAACGCTATAACAGAATTAGCAAGTTAACCATAATAATATGACAAGCAAGCAAAAACTCTAGGTCTTATAATGATTACATTTTAATTTTATCAGTCATCCGATGTGACCTATAAAAAGCTTTTTTTATTTTTCAATCGTTTTATTATAGTGAATTATTTTGTCTATTATATTCATTTTATTTCATGAGAAAGAAACTTCTGATATCTTCCGATTAGTTGACCTAGAAGTTGATTTCAGTAATTTTATGAAAAAAATAATTAGTAACTATTTTGTAATTCTTAATTATTCTCAGTACACCTAAAAGTTTCTATCATTACTAGGAGAAAAGAAAAGTTGAATATTCAAACAACCATAACACTTGATGAACAGTCAATGCATTTAACTATTACTTACTTACTTACTGACACCTGTTACCCCCGCAATGGAGTATAGGCCGCTCACCAGTTTTCTCCCTTTCTAGTTCTTTCCAATGTTTGTTCATTCCTCTCATATCTTTCTCTATTTCTCGGCGTAATGTATTCCTTGGCATTCCTCTTTTTCTTTCACCTTGAGGGTTCCATATAAGGGCTTGTCTAGTGACGCAGTTAGGTGCTTTTCGTAGTATGTGTCCTATCCACTTCCACTGCTTCTTCCTTATTTCCTCCTCCACTGGAATCTGGTCTGTTCTCCCCCACAGTAAGTTGTTGCTGATGGTGTCTGGCTAACGAATACGAAGTATTTTGCGTAGACAACTGTTAATAAACACTTGTATCTTGTGGATGATGCCTTTCGTAGTTCTCCAAGTTTTCACTCCATGCAGTAGAACTGTCTTGACATTTGTATTGAAAATCCTGATTTCGGTTGAAAGTTGTTTGGAGTTTCAGATATTTTTCAGTTGTAGAAACGCAGCCCTTGCTTTGCCGATCCGCGCCCTTACATCTGCATCCAATCCACCTTCGTTGTCGATGATGCTGCCAAGATAAGTAAAGATGTTAACGTCCTCCAAGGCATCTCCATCAAGAGTGATTTGGTTGGTGCATGCTTTGTTGAAGACTTTGCCTGGTATTGAGAGAAGAGTGATGCCTGTGTAGTTCTCACACTTGCTCAGATCGCCTTTCTTTGGAATTTAGATGAGGTATCCTTCTTTCCAATCTGATGGTACTTGTTCCTCATCCCAAATCTTCTTGAAGAGGATGTGAAATATTTTCGCAGTTGCTTCAACATCTGCTTTCATTGACTCTGCTGGAATGTTGTCTGGTCCTGCTGCTTTGCCGCTCTTGATTTGTCTGATGGCTATACTGATCTCCTCAATAGTAGGTGCGCCAATATTAATTGGGAGGTCCTTGGATGCTGCTTCGATGTTGGGTGTGTTCAGTGGAGCTGGCCTATTTAAGAGATCCTTAAAGTGCTCTACCCACCTTTTTCGCTGTTCTTCAGTGTTGCTTTGCCTTCCTTGCTTTTAACTGGTCGTTCTGCTTTACGATAGAATCACTAACTTCATAAATTGTGATCATTATAACCAATATATATTATCAAATAACTTAAATGTACTTTTAAGTCTTTTGATATCATTATCAACAAAGCTTCTATTATAAAACTAGACTTTAATAATCTAGTTAATGAGGCCTTGGAGTAATAGGATGGAAGTGATCTGGTTGATTGTATTGAAAGCGGAAATATTAGCAAATATATCAGTTTATGGTAGAAAATATTTACAAGTTGTTTCTTACGACAGAATACAAATTCAAATACTTAAAAATTAAGTAGTGTTTTACCTAGAAACCCTAGACTTTATACCACCAGCTCGATTTCTGAGTTGATCTAATGTATAGGTTAATAATTTTGGATAAATTTCTGCTCGCCAAGATGTTTGATGTGCATTTATTCTGTCAACAAACGAGGGGCTAACGCGATAGAGAGTTTGACCAGAACTTTTTGAACTAAATAATTCATTATTCTGAAAGCTGAAATAACATGCAAAAATATTATTGTCAAAACAATAGATAAATAAAAGTAATTGGGACTAAAGGATTAATTAATTAATCGAATAATTGCATAATAGTCTATGCATTAGTGAATCTGCTTCTAAACGCATTCACTAATCAAAACAATTAACGTGAGAAATGTTCGCAAAGTTTATTATTTTGTATACAGGGAAAAATATGTGATAACGATAAACTGCAAGCCTTTTACCTTTGGAGACACAAAAGATCTCATTGATTCAACAGCAGCTACATATAACGCCTTATTCACTTAGAACGTATTTGTATGAAAGTGGTTTTAATATCGATTGTTTCAGTTTCTTATATTTAGTTGATGGTTCTTTGAATCGCAGAATACAAGTGAATATTTAGTGGTGAATTGGACCAAAACACTGACGTGTAAGCGTCGACTTATCTTTCCATGGTGCTAACATAACCAACGTATTTAGCATGATAAGCAACTGCAACTACCTCGATCGTCATTGTTACTACTGGTTACTCATCATTTAAAAATGATAAGAACACGTTCCAAATACCTATCATTGGTATTTAATAACTTATGAAGCAATTATTGTTTTGTGAATTCTTACTAATTACGACTAACATCGGATTGTCAAGTTAAACCATATTCCTCTACATTCGAAGTTATTCTCAACTAAAAATACATGTAAGAGTATAGTTTTGATGTATATTCACATCTGTGTTCGCTGAATTGGAGTATCCAAACGTTGATTATGTATTTTCTCCTTGGTTTACCACATCCGTTTAAGAATTTCAACTACGAATAAATAATAATTCACTCTAAGTTTCTGTCTTCTAGTAGAACCTATTCTTGATCTTTTCCGAGCCGCATTTGATTGGAGTATAAATAAAAACTGTGAACATAAACCGATCCATCATACACAAAAACTTTCTAGCTTCGTTTCTAAACATTTGCTTAGAGCATCGTAAGTATTACTCGCATAATTTTATGGAGTAAAGCGTAGGGTGTGATGTTTTTGACTTACTTTACTATCTTTCGAAATTGCTGAAGATGGTGGTTAATCGTAGGAGAAACTTTATTCTTGACACAACTGAGCAAAGTCAACAATGCGATTCAAACAGCAGGGTAGAAATTAGTAGCTTACTTAAAATAGTAAAAACCCAATAAGAATATATATTCTAGCCAATATGAATCAATCAGACCGTAATGATAAGTAGACCAAACAACTAAATAGAGGCGTAAATTACAGTCTTGATATATAAGTTCACAGCCAAAACTATCGTGCGTAGTAATAATACTAGGTTGGAGGATTAAAACCAAATTTATGGAAATATTAAGAAATACACAAACTAATTTTCTCCTTAAAATGTAGTCAGAGACTTATTGTGCAAACAAACCATGGTCAAAACGAAAACCACTTATAGTAATAGAGCAGTACATAAAGTAAAAGTTAACCAACAAATAATAATAATAATAATAAAGATCATTTTAGAACATCCTACTTATCAGGTACTCCAATTTTATTCGCTACAAAACACTTCCATTGTCGAATTAAAGTGTCATGCGTCCACATTGGCATAGATTTATGGCAACTGAATTCTCCACTTGGCTTATAGGCGAACATAACTAGCCATTTGCGATGGTTTATTGTTACTTCAAACCCCTTTAAAAAGAAATGCAGGAAATTTATGTGAGCATACTTGATTATAGATTAGAGTCCAGTGTCCCCTGTTTCCGAACTGATCAACAGCGATATCGGGGTATAAGAGATCGACAACAACAGAATGTTTCGATTTTACTAAAAGAGACTAGAAAAGCTATAAAAATGTGACTTACAATTTTCAGGACATTGAAGTTGGTAATCACCAACATGAAACATCCACTGACCACGTGCATCTTCGTAAGTACAATTAGCAGGAGTATCAGCATTTGTAAGCCGTGAACATACTACTATTATAGTGCAGTAAAGTATCCAATGCGACATCTTAGAGAATCTGATATGGTCAGATATACCTATAAAAGTACATAGATTAAATATTAAAGTAAATTTTACAAAGGGCCAATTCATATACTTCATTAGATTTTGCTTTAAAATGAACCAAACACTCGTGTATTATTGTGTAGTCCAATACTATTAGTTTATTAATTAGACATTAAGTGAACAGATACTGAATAGCAATGTACTGCTAACATTCATTCATAAGATTATAATGCTGAGGTACCAATATTTATTTAAAAGATACTCTCAAGCGACAGACTATCTGTTTATCAATAAATTCTAGCAATTTTTGGACAAAATGACAGAACATTGGTACTTCTGGGAAAATCCTTAAGAAAAACTTATAACTAGACAACTTTTTTAAAAATTTTTGAAGACAAAGAAAGTTTTGGGAAATATACTGAAACTTAGCGAATTCGGGGAAAGTCACAGACACAGGGAATTTTTTACAACAGGACACTTACACTAGTCTTTTGACAATATCCAACTGCCGATATTTTTTCCACAAGCTAGTGTTAACCAACAAATTTATTTGCGCTCGCTTCGTGTTTATGCGGGACGGTATCAGGTATTCGAATATGTCCAATGGATGGTCTAGTCTAACCCCCTGACTGAACTAACTCTATTAGTTTAACAGTTCTCTATGAATTTGTACGTCCAGTGATTTGATTGATCGCGCTTCTCTCAGGACAGTGGGGTTTTTGTATACCAGCAGCTATCGCATTACCAGTTCGGAGATCAGTGGTGAATAATAAGGGGAAAATTCTAATGCTAATAAGAAGAGGTAAATCCACGAATTGCTAAAATAAGGAATTTATCTAATTGGTAGGTGAGGATTGTATGAGAGGACGGACTGTAAGCAAATAGTTGGAAACGAAGATAATAAGTGTTAATGTTATGAGGAAATGACAATAATGACTATTAACAAGTCTCAAGACATGCATCACGCACAGCTAGTTCAAGAGGAAGGTGATTATCTGTGTGTGAGTACGTGTGCATGAAGTCTCATATTAAAGCTATCCACCAAGGGGGCTGTGGTCACTTTTTCTGGAAGAGAAATTCAAGTTGGAACAACTCTTAGTGCAAAAAGTGGGCATGTTCCAGGGCGTTCGTTCTTTGATGTGCGATTTGCCGACGGCTACCTCAAGGGCTGTGGTGGTGATTTTTCGGAAAGATACTCGTGCTAAATGACTCGGAGTACTTAATCTGTTGAATACCATTATCAGATCACCCTGATTCTACAGTCGTTTTATTCCTTAACCCTGTCACCCACTCATTTACTCATCTCTGAACTCAATACAGGAGATTTTTGCGTCTTTCAAGGAGAGATAGTGCCATGACATTATGATTTTTAAGGTTTGACCGTATGTATGTTTTGAAGTGGGCTGTAGGTTCATTAGACCAAGTTGTCATTGCATAAAGCAAATAAATGTCTTAGCCTTGGCCTCAGCCCCCAAATGTTTGAAATGATGTTCAGGCTCTCGATGGTTATTAGCCTGAGATCTCATCTCGAGGAGACATAAGGGAGCGAACTTCTTTTGAGGACGTTATTTATTTGTGTCGTGTGGGGCAGAATGTTCATGACGTGATAATTCAACTGTTTAAGTTTTAACACGTTATCCACTGACTATTCCTCTATTGTTGGAAGGTCTTCTTAAGCTCAGCTAGATCCCCTTTACTTCTTATGTACCTCCAGATCTTTTCATCTTCTGTGTTGGGGTTTTTCCGTGGTTTCTGAATTCGGAAGAACAGTGGAAGAAGTTAGATGTGCGCCCTTCCCAGTTATCCCAAGAAGAACGCAATTTTTCTGGGTAAGAAACGGTTCTATTATTAACTACTTAATATAAATAATTACTTAAGCAATATTACACTGTTCTTTAATACAATTCAACACAATGTGTTTCTAATTCTGGAAGAATGCTTCCGTAGAATTCCAAAATTGCACCCTTCTAGTCCAGATTCAAAGTTCACCTACCCAGGGTGTCAAATTCGATATGGCTGACGCCATAATTGAGTATCAATTTAAACAGCACAATACAGTTTAGTAGGAAACATAGTGCACTAATTCTTATTGGTGTGCAGACACGGATAAACTCGACTAGGAGCTGATCTTTTGTCAGCAAGTAATTCAAGCTTGAAGGTCTTCTCTCCCTAAACCATCTGGTGGCGTTACACTCATGCTCAATCAATCTGGAACTTTGGAAGGCTGTAAAAAGACGCTTTTGGAACCATCCCGCGGAAGTTGTACCCTGTGTGCTGAGATTTAGGGATATCGTGTTGAAATCTCTAGCTAAGAGTTCTTGGTCAAACCCCAGGAGTGGTATTTGCAACATCGCCCAAATCAACTTGTCTTTCTGTGCTTTAGTTCCTGAAGGGGGCTGGTAGATCCCACTAATCAAGTATTTCGTGCCATTGGTGTTGAAACACCCGCATGATTCTGTTTCATCCGTTACTTGGGTACCATGTGGTGTTACTGCCTTGAAATGGCTGGTAATATATACATAGACACTCCACCTACTGTTTTCTGTACCTTATTGTATCAAAAGGGTTTCATACCTTGCAAGCTTACTTTGTCATCTGCACTATCGGGGCATAGCCATGTCCTAGTTAGAATCATGATCTTCAGATCCGTCTGAGTGCATATATTCCTGATCTCTTTCAGTCCAACCCTCAGTCCTCATATATTACTACAGAGGTACTTCATAATTTGTTTTACCAACAGGTACACCTCTGGAGCAACAATAATCTTCGGGTTTTTAAACAAGCTGTTTAAACCTAGTTGGTTGTTTCTGTTCCAACTGTCCGCTGCAGGCTTTTTAGCTGGTATAGTGTATTCATTTGGAGAAACCGTCACATTCGGGTGGTGTAAGTGACCAGGATTCATGATGGTGAGGCGACAACCTCCATCTACCCATGTCTGTGTGGCAAAACATTTTGTTTGCTTACGGCTCCTTACGATATAGCAGGATGTAACAAATCAGTAATATTGACGTTACTTTTACTTGTTAACCTCGTCTACGACTCATGTCTGTAACCTTGCACTGGTTTTACTTCCTAACAAGAAATCCTATTACAAGCTGGTCTGGACAACTATACTAAAAAAGAGCTCACCCATGACTGCTTGAGCTACAGACATAAAAAGAAACAGAATAGATAAAATACAACAAAAGCTTTACATTATTGTGCCTCATTATTATATTTTGTAAATCAACATTATTGCTAACAACTTGGTTCTTCTGAATTTCCTCTATTCATTCGACTAACTTCCCATTGGTTATCTTACTACTGAATTGCCTTCATAAACCTACATAAGTGCAGGTGTATAGTTAGTGTTCTGATGAAAAAAAGTCTTAGTAAACATACCTTTGTTTTATGCAAAATCGTATGTGCTAAGTTGTTGTTCAGCTTTAAACAAGAAAATTTCCTGTTCTACTCAGGCAATCGTTGGACGTGGTCTGATTTATTGAAGTTATCACTGCTCCGTGGTGCTAAAAATTTCCCAGGGAAACGCATTGTCATGCCGTATACGAATTCAGAGGCGGAACATTGAATATCTGCCTTTAAACTCGTTCTGATACCTAAAAGGACGATAGGTAAGGCTTCGTACCAGTTGTTGTTTTCGTGTGCTCGAAGAGCACTCTTAAGTTGACAATGAAACCGTTCGACTAAACCACTCGAAGCAAGGTGGTAGGCGGCAGTGCGTATGCACTCCGTACCAAGCAGCCGGGTTGGCAAGGAAAATAATTCGGTCTCGAACTGTTGTCCTCGGTCAGTTGTGACAGTCGAGGGACAACCGTATCCACAAACCTTTCCACTCGCCCATTCGATTGCGGGTGGTATGGTGGCCTAATGGCTCGCCGTCGGCCTAAAGTTTGGAATTGTGTGTAGGTAAATTGAGACCCACTGTCAGATACGATCACATCTGGCATGCCATTTCGAGAGAAAATTTCGGTGAGGAGCTGTATTGTCTTAGTTGTCTTGGGCGGCATTACGAAGCTGGTTTCTGGCCATTTTGAGAAGGCGTCAATCACAACTAAACACAGTTCCACTGATTGGACCAGCGAAGTCAACCTGTATCCTGGACCATGAATGATCAGGTTTGGGCCATAAAACCGGTGGAACGTTGGCATTCATCTTTGACGCTTGCTGACACCGCACACATTTTTCAACTAACGCTGATGTTGATCCATGAGAGGCCAGTATGCATAACTCCTGTCTATGGACTTCATTCGTTTAATCTCAGGATGACCAAGATGGAACTGTCTCAGCACTTTTGCACAAAGGGATTCTGGCACAACTACACTTTCACCAAACATCGAACAATTGTTCACGATGCATGGTGAATCCCGCCGCTGATACAGTTGCTTCATGTCACCTTCAAACCTTTTCGGCGGCCAACCGTTGATGATATATTTGATCGTCATCTTGATGATGGGGTCGTTTCTAGAAGCAGTTTGTATGTCTGTTGCAGACATCGGTAATGCGCGAATTGCGGTTGTCAGATAACATTCTGCGTGACCGCCACTTGACCACTAATGAGTCGTGACAAAGCGTCTGCTTGACCGAATTGTAGAGTGCGTCGATATTGTTTTTCAAAATCATACCCTAAAAGTACCAAGACCTATCGCTGAAGACGATTTGCAGAATGAGCTGGAATGCCCGATTTAGAACCGAACACTTCTAACAGAGACTTGTGATCTCTCAGTAGCGTGAATCTCCGACCGTACAGAAACTTGTGGAAACGGCGAACCGCAAACACAATGGCAAGAGCCTCTTTCTCTATCTGGCTGTACTTGTTTTCTGCTGAGGTTAGTGTACGGAATGCATGCATAACGGCTTTTTCTGATGCGTCTGCAAATGATGTGAAATAACAGCACCTAGGCCATAAGCTCAAGCGTCTGCTGCTACGATGATCGCCATGGAAGGATCGTAGTGTGTCAGTAACAATTCCGAACTAATTATGGACCTCAGTTTACCAAAAGAGGAGTCACACTCTTTAGTCCAATTCCAAGTGCTGTTCTTCTGCAATAGACAATTCAATGGAGCGCGAATATCATGCATCGAGGGAACAAACACTGAAGAATAACTGATTAATCCGAGAAAAGATTGTAATTCTGAGACATTAATGGGAGTGGGTATCAGTTTGATAGCTCGGATGTTCTCAGGGTCCGGTCTGCAACCGTCGGCATCAAAGATGAATCCCAAATACCTCACTGACTGCAATGAAAACTGCCATTACGACCACTAACCGACTTATTTAGTGGTAACCGACGTAAATTAGGGTTGAACGACGCCGGGTGTTGGAGATGTTAGATCCCCAGAACTCGCTTGATAAATATCTTTATTTTGGATTTATTCCATGGACCGATCAGTTGACCTGGAGATCACATTTCTCACCAGGAAAATACTTGGCTGTGATTGGATACTGTGTCATTTTAGTGTGCTATTTTTGTGACTGCCTCAATGACGTTTCTATAGAGTATAAATAAACGCGACTTGAGTCTTTGGATTGTGTGCTGGCTGGGTGTTTGTAGAATACAATTTCTACACTATGTCAAGACTTCTTACTGATTCCACTTGGTCAAGGGATCACAGTAGCCTACCCGGACGCTGGTCCATTGTTTTGTTCCCGTTATTCGACTGAGGTGAACTCTTAATAGTTTAGGCATACCTAGAGTCGAGCGTAACATTATGCTTGTACACAATTGGTTAATTAGAAAAAAATGTCAGGCTTTCAGCCAGTTTTTGGTTTCTTGACCGAGGAAATGTTCATAGAAAGAGTTACTAACGACTTTCATCATAATTCCACTCCAACAAAACTGTTTACTCTGAATTGTGAAAGCCTCTCTCTGAAAAACCAGCAGGCGCATATTCCTGACATCGGGCAGCAGTAACGCTCCATTGACTACGTACTTCCTAGTTAATCATAGAATCGTGCTTTTGAACATCAAAATGGATTAAAGCTTCACTGTTCGTAGTTCTCAGTGTGTTTTTCTTCGACGGCGATTCACAGCAGGCAAATAACAATTGTCCGATTTCCTCATTATAATAGCTAGTAACGCAACTCAGAAATTACTTAGGATGGTTTTTACGTGTTTACATAAGAACTCGTGTGGAAAAACATCTTACGTGATGTCTTTTAACCTTAAGAAGGATATTGTTCTCTTGAGATACTTCAAGGAAGAGCAATTTCAAAAATACTGGGACTTAAGTTTAGATAACCCTCAGCTCTTTTTCAAGCTTCCAACGTACAGCCAGTGAGGTACGAAAGAAGTGTGGGGGGGCTATGAGTTGTTGTGCCTTAATATTAGAAGCTGTTTCTACATGAATAGACCACCAATGTGTTTCCGAACTGAGTCGCAATAAAGAGGAAAATCACTGAAGAAAGAACACGAAAGAGCTAGTACAATGAGATGTGTGGACGTTTTCGAATCAGTATATTTACTAACTTCTAACCCAGAACTGTAGCTATGATACCATTTGCTGAATCTTTTACAACAGTTAATCAACGCGAGAAATAGATAGTTTAGTAAGCTCTCGGCACTGGTGCTAACTCCACTAGTATCACAAGACCTACTCCTAACTAAAGAGTCTCAGTCGAACACCTGCATTAGATGAAGACTGGATACGCTGTGTGGTGCCTCTATTATCCAATATCCAATGTCTTTTTCGCGAGCTAGTATAAACCAATTGATTTCTTTCTTTTATTTCTCTCGATTCTTGTTCTTTCGGTCAGCTTAGATTATATAGATATCGAAATATGGGCCACTATCCAGTCCTCTCTTTTCATACTTTTGATTTGGTTGATTTTGAGTTCTCCGACTAACAAGGAGTGTAGTTTTCAAACGTAGGGGATCCATGTTGGTGACTGCGGAAGTGCATGAAGTAGACAGGAATGTTCCGACACTCCAGCCAGTGATTTACACGTACCCTGGTTTTGTTTTTGTAATAACAAAGCGGAACTTCTACCTGAGTAGTTAACTAAGAAGAATATTCTCAAAAGCTGACAGAACTGATGTAAACCCATTACAGAAGTACAAAATGGTATCACTAGCGCTTCAAACTATCCGTGGCATAAGGATGGTTAATTCATCCTTGAACGTGACGATGTTTGACAGATTGTCTAGTGATTATTAGTTTGTCATCTAATGGAGTATTTGTCCAGGACACATGCTTCAATGACTCTGCAGGAGTTACGGACAACAGCGCCAGCAAACAATGAGTGGCCCTGACATCTTATCTTCAACTATCATTGTTATGAACTTTTACACTTTGCCTCTGGTTCTTCGTATTAATGTAATAAGAAACATGTCGTTTTACAACCGAGATCCTGATCCGTCTACTTAAAGGAAGATACGAAAGAACCAATATCTCACTAATTTTGATTATTAGAGACAAAGTTGAAGTTTGGGGATCGTACGTTCAACCCGCGCTTATGAGTGTGTGAGTTACTATGAATGCTCCTGCTTCATTTGAACCATTTCTGCTTGCTGATGGTGAGAAGAAGTAGGTCGTTGACACATAATTTTACGCATCAGAATCTCATTTGAAAAAGATACCCAGGTTCCAAATGCTGCCATCTTCACCCTGAATCGAGAGGATCATACTGTTGGAAATATGATAACATGGTGTGTTTCTAGTAGTATATTTAATACCTATTTTTCAAAATGGCTATTATATACAACAAAGTGTTAATTGACGATTTAAGAAACTAAAATAAATTTTTTGGAATAGTGCTGAGTGTATGAAACTGAATATATTTATATCATCATAGCTTTTGATTAGATAAGCATTCATAGATTTCCGGGTTTTAATAGTTAATAAATATATCTATTCTTATTTTGGAGTAATCCTTGATTATACGTACTAAAAAATGCAAGATATCTGACCCAAATGATTTCATGCTTTGTACGTCTTTGTGGCCAGGATGTACTAGTTTGTTAGCTCACAGATCAAGTTTGAAACTTGTTTCGAATGCGTTAACATTGATTACATTGGTATATGCCAAATCTAATCACTAACTGTCAACATGAGATGTATAATGAAGCGTACATGTAGTATCTTCCTTTTTATGTATTTGTTGCGATACATTTCTGTCTTTTTTTTCATTTGAGGACTTTGGCATCTTGAATGATGCTGTGTTACGCGATATTTTTGATGTGTTTGATATTCTATCTGTAGTACCAAACATCATCCACTATTCCATACTGTCTTGAGATTCGAGTGGTATAGTAGCTGTTTTACTAGATTTTTTGAACGAATAGCTATTGAATTCTTATTTAGTCTAATAAAACAGTATGTATGGAGGACGTAATTACACACACTATTTTATAGGTTGAAGATCTGCTCTGCTTTAGGTTTAGGCAAATAAGTTAGAAATAATTTCTGTCCAACTGAATTCTTAGTAACTGTTTCTAGTTTTACTTCTTTGATTTGTATTTTGGACCCTCAAATACTTCCCTTTTACTGCTAATACCGCTACAACTCTATAATTTGGCTTAATAGTTTCATATCTGTGCTAATGTAGTAGGGGATCCTAAACTGATGTACGTACATATCGTTTTATGTTGCATTGGCCTTACTGACTGAAACGCTTATTATTGGTTTATAGATATATAATACAATTCCTAGTACAATAGGATGTTAGAAGAAGCATCGCACAAATTAAATGGTTAATATTGCAAAGAAATAAACAAAAGGGAAAGTCATACAATTAATTAACAAATGAACAATAATAGTAGTAAGTGTAGCTGAGATAAAAGTGCAACCAAACAGAACATTTTTCAGTTAAGATAGTTCATCTTGATTTTACGAGGAAGGTGATAAAAACAACAATTGGTTTCCCCCCGGCTTCTATCATAAGCCACAATCAATTACATCTCAAGGCACTGAGTTGTTCAATCTCTAAGACCACGACTACCGAATCGTGATATATTAATAAACGCGTTTAATGTAAAACAAAGTGGTCTTGAGTGATGAGGCATCTGACTAATTGTCTTATTCTATTATGGTACAAGTTCTGTAGGGTATAAAACCATTCAAAATTCATACAAAGATCACAGGTAAATGTAATGTCTATAAAACGTAACAGAGTAACCAGATTCAAAATGTAATTAAACTGAATTATCTAGTCTAAAAACGACGCATTTAATAAAAGGTGGGCGCCTTAGTTGATCATGCAAAAAATTAACCAGTCAGTCAGTCAGTTGCAACGTAGGACTTCGTACGTATGTACATAAGTTCATGTTGCCATACCACAACACAGAGACGCAAATGTCAAATCAAATCCCATAGTGATAAAGATAATAGAGGTATTAATGGTAATGAAAGGGATTAGGGTTTGGAGATATTATTCAAGAAGTATAATTCAGTGAGATAAGGTTAGAAAGACAAAGGTAGAGGTGCTGACGAATCCAGAAGACTAGGATTTGAGAGAGCTCAACGAATGGATGCACTTGCGCGATTGCAAACGATTTTGAGCCATATCGTTCAAGGTCTCTAACCATTGGTGACTATCGTCTCGCGGACCCCAACCAGGTAGTCTATATCTACCAACATGACTCAGTGCACTTGTTAATAACTTCATGGATTTCTGTCATGTTTTGGTCTGGCCGCCCCTAGCTTTCTTCCAATCTACTTCTACACCACAAAACATAGCTCGTCGAGGCAGTCGGTGGTTAGGCGTTCGTAACACATGTCTCAACCACCTCAACTGATGAAGTTTCAATACTTCATCTACTGATCTGCCATTCTTACCTAGCGCCCGTTTCCTAACGACAGCATTGCTTACTCGGTTTTCTCACGATATACGAACAATGCTTCTTAAACATCTATGATCGAATACTAGTAACCTACGAACATCTACTCTTAACGGCCATGTTTCACAGCCATACAGGAGAACGGAGCGAACTGCTGCGCAGTACACCCGTCCTTTGGTTAGCGAACGGATATCACGCTTACGCACGTACGTATGTATACTTATTTTAGGCAGTTCTTTACTCATTGGTCTTTTATATAACTATTATCGGTTTTCATCTGATTTATTCTATCATTTCGCGCTTGATTTTTACTTTGCTACTAAAAAAAGACTACTTTTATTATTCTATCTATCACTATATTGTTTTTAATAATAAACCGGTGTCATTTTCCATATCAAGAAAGCCCTATTCTTAAGTTCCTATTGTCTCTCATTAGTCATAAGATATTCCGTATTTGTCTTCAAATTGAACATTCCTTCCAACTCATCGTACGTTTTTTATTTTCTTAATATAGCCAACTTCTAAAAGATCCAAGAGTACTGTTTGCAGGATACAAGGCTCCTCATCCACTAGAGCATAAAATTGTCATTCGAGTACATACAGCTCATCCAGCGACACCTGTAGATGTGTTCGTTTCTGCTCTGAAAGATCTTATCAGTGAAATCTCAAACATAGAAGAGCAGTTTAGAGTAAGTGGTCATATTTTTTTAATCGTTAATCTGCTTTCATGTAGATGGCGACAAAATGAAACGTTACATTTGTACATATTATTTTTTGTATATATTGATAACTATCAAATACAAATACATCTTTTGCAAAAATTAATCCAGTTCTTTTTACCTAAATAAAATCTAAAAATAAAGAAATTGATTGAAAGTACAACAATACTATCGAGCTATATGAGACTGATCCTGCATAAACTTACTTACTGACGCCTGTTACCCCCGCAATGGAGCATAGGCCGCTCACCAGTTTTCTCCAACCAACTCTGTCCTGGGCTTCCCTCTCCAGTGTTGTCCAATGTTTGTTCATTCCTCTCATATCTTTCTCTATTTCTCGGCGTAATGTATTCCTCTTTTCCATTCACCTTGAGGGTTCCATATGAGGGCATGCCTTGTGATGCAGTTAGGTGCTTTTCGTAGTGTGTTCTATCCACTTCCAGTGCTTCTTCCTGATTTCCTCCTCCTCCACTGGAATCTGGTTTGTTCTCTCCCACAGTACCTTGTTGCTGATGGTGTCTGGCCAACGAATCCGAAGTATTTTACGTAGGCAACTGGATGATGCCTTTCTTAGTTCTCCAAGTTTCCGCTCCATACAGTAGAACTGTCTTGACATTTGTATTGAAAATCCTGATTTTGGTTTTGGTTGAAAGTTGTTTGGAGTTGCAGATATTTTTCAAATGTAGAAATGCAGCCCTTGCTTTGCCAATCCGCGCCCTCACATCTGCATCGGATCCACCTTGGTTGTCGATGAGGCTGCCCAGATATATGAAGGTGTTAACGTCCTCCAAGGCATCTCCATCAAGAGTGATTTGGTTGGTGCATGTTGTGTTGCATCGGAGAATTTTGCTTTTTCCTTTATGTATGTTGAGACCTACTGCTGCTACACTGGTTGTCTTCTGTTGCATTTGTTGTTGCGTGTGCGATAGAAGAGCCAGGTCATCTGCGAAGATACTGCATAAACACTTTCTAATAATTATTTTGTAGATTTTGATTTCCACATTCTAGCTATTATTACCTTCTGGCCATACAAGGGTCCAATTTACCCAAAATGAAAGACACTAGTTACTTTAAGGACTATGTCCCTTTCAATGTTTTATGCATGTCTTAAATACTTTATTAAGTTAGAACAGCTTTGAAATGCAACCCGTGCACGATTATAGTTTTACAGTAAATGATTTCAAAATTATGGATTTATTTAACTGTAAATCTGACATTTTCATGAAATCAAATTGTAAAACAATAAATTTAGTGGGATTTAAAATCGATTTAATAGAGATAGACTACTAATTCAAATCTGTTTGACAAATATCTCTTCGTTCGGTCAGTCAGTATGCAACAGCGTAGAGCTGGGCACGTACGTACATTATTTCAGGCTGTTATACCACATTAGCACGAAGAGATGAAATTTTTAGTTCAAATCCCATAGTAGTAGAGGTAGTAGTGAGAAGACTGAGGCAGGCGCGGAAGATTGTATTATGCAAATTTACACTTAGTCAATTAAAATCGAAAATATTACATTGAACAAACTATTTGCACACCATCTTTGAGTCGTGACTTCCAACGTTCCATCCTTCTTCCATTCCTGCTGTTGCTTCCTTTCCTTCCTGTTGGTACTCCATTTACTTCTTGCTTTTGCTCCATTTGCTTTCTGTTTTCCTCTTCTGACCGTGAGACTTCTTTCACGTCCATTCTTATATTACTTATATCGTTCGTATAAGTAGCACACACCACAGTAGAAGTATTAGCAATGATGAATAAGATTAGGGTTCAAAGTAGCAGAATCAATTTGAAAAGAAAGGTAAAATAAACGGTCATGAGGAATTCAGACGCATTCGCGCCATTGCTAATGAGTTTGAGCCAAGTCATTCAGCGTCTCTAACCATCGATTACCATTATCTTGCTGACCCCAACCAAAGCAGTCTATACCTAGTAGTAGTAAGTAGTCGGTGGTTGGGTCATAGGTAACTCATGTTCCAACTACATCAAATGATGAAGATTTCCTACTTCATGATTTCTCTTTTAAGTCGGTTAATTCGTTTAGTTATTCACATATATGGAACATACTTTGTTAGTGAAGTTAAATAATTTTCATTATAAATAAGATTAACGATCAATGGGTCTAATTTAAAAAAATATCGTCATCAATAGAATTGAATAAAACTTGATGAATGACCTGTTCATTTAAGTCAGCTTAAACATATTTTTAGAGCTTTTAACAAATAACTACTTTGTTTAATCAATAACTAACTTTAATGGAGAGAGTGCTAATCTAAAATTCCAATACATCACTCGTGGTGGTCACTGAATAAAGCTAAAATTTGAATCTTAAGTTCATACTTCGTTCATTTAGTACTTTTCACATCCAAAATCCATTCTCTACCGGTTGAGTTTTTGTAATCTGATATTATTATTGTTGTTATTATTATTGGCTCTCATAAAGTCTGTAATTCACAAACTCTATTACGCAAATATGTGCGTTCTTGTCTATTCACATTACTATCTCATGTCAAGTGACTTGATCATGAGCAAGATTCATTCAATATTCCCTACACCAAATTAAAACGATAAGATGAGCAAAGAAATACATTTTTCAACTAGTGTGGTGTGAGCTACTTATAAGTAGTATATGACGTGAGTGTCAACGTAATGTCTGGCAGCAGAAAATGGGGTAAGATCAAGAAAGGAAGAGTTAGAACACAATGGAATTTGTATGAAACGCATGAATAGTGACAATGGATTGATGTTTTGCAACAGGAACAGTCCAGTTCGATATAATGGACTGATATTTTGCAAATTAATGATTTACGATATGGTGTTCCGATTTTACTGAGTAACTTTGTAATTTTCCTTAAAAACAATTCGTTTGCCCTCACCGGTGTTCTCCTTCACTACACTAGCTCTTCATCAAATATATCTACTTATAAATATGCTTTACAAATGAATTGAAAGTCAATACCAATTAGATGTTAGTAAGATAATTTCACAATATAATAGTCAGTTACATAGAGTTTGTAAGATTTAAAATTAAAACTAAAATAAACTGACATAATCAATTAATTAAATGTGTGCATAGTTAGCTAGGGGCGGCCAAACCAAAACATGGCAGAAATTCATGAAGTCACTGACAAGTGGACTGAGTCATGTTGATAGATGTAGGCTACCTGGTTGGGGTCTGCGAGGTGATAGTCAGCGATGGTTAGAAGAGACCTTAAACGACATGGCTCAGAATCGTTTGCAATGGCGCAGATGCATCCACTCTTTGTGTGCTTTTTTTAATTCTAACCTTCTGAATTCCTCATCGTCTCTATCTTTCTCCTTCTAAATTTATCTTACTGAATTATACTTTTCGAATCATATCTTTGCTCCATAATCTTCTTCATTGCTGCTAATAATTCTACTATCAGTATCACTCTTGGATTTGAAATGACAGTTACATCTCTGTGCTCATGTGGTATGGCAACCTGAACTAATGTACTAATGTACGAATTTCTGCGTTGTATCTGTCTGTCTGTCTGTCTGTATAACTACATAACATCCGGAATAATAATTGAAATTGGATGCAAATAAAAGTTTTTTGTTGTTTTGCACAAAATAAACAGAAATAACGAGATTATTAGTCTGATTACGTAAGATTAAAATTGGAAATTAAATCGTCAATAAATTGATTTTCCAGAAATTTCAGCGGAAGAGAAATAACAGTTTTGAAACATGCAATCGTATCTATGTCTAAGGTCGGGATAGATTAATAAACTGTAGAAAGGTTTCCTGTATACAAATATTCGCTTCATTGATATATATTCTTCTGTGGCTTCCATTGCATTTAAGAGTTAGACTCTGGAACCATTTGGAAAATTCGGAGACATTTTATAAATATCTTTAAATGCTGAATTTTTATGTATGTGATTGTTAGTATATTCATCCAATATCCTAAGAGAATTAATTATTGGTCAATTCCTATTAGTTAATTCCTACTGGTCAATTTTATGGTCGTCCTAGATATCAATGTCACATGCTCCAATGTTGTTTCTTATTGGTTGACCTGACTATCAATGTCAATTCAAATGTTGCTTCCTATTGGTCGTCTTAACTGTGAATGTCACAGAGTTGGATGCTGTTTCCTATTCGACCTAAATGTATAAATACGCATTATCTGTAACGCTTTATGACCCGGACCCGAATCACTGGTCCGGGATCCTGATTCTCTTATGGACCCGGACCCCGTACTCTCTGAATGCTTGTAAAATACAGATTCTACTTCATATCACGTCTTCTTGTTTTTACTCATTATGGTGGTTGGGATAATCGGATTTGAGTAGCATGTCGTGTCGCCGGATCCTCGATCCTTGCTCTCGTTTTCCAACTAGGTAAACTCGTAATAGTTCAAGTATACCAAGTTGACGTGTTTACGTGCAGGCGTAACAGTGATAACCGGTATTGGCCAGATATAACAAAGTAGAGCTTCTTATTGACTTTCTTGTGTATTTTGGTTAACAGTGATGGCTGATATTCCGAAATACAATGATGGCCTTGTTTAGTTGTACGCCCAGTATAACTATCTCCACAAGAGCAGTTGAAATGGTTCATACACATGGAGACAGAGAAATTAGCCCACTTAGTATCGTACAAATGTAGACCGTGGAAGTGTAGCCTATCGTTTCTTTTGACGTTATTTTCGGAGTTTACAGCAAGAGGTGTCAGAAGAGTTATCACAGGAATAACTAGCTGATAGCGGCCAAGCGTTCATAGCGATGTCTCTTTTTGATCCTTCGATGTTAGCTCTCCCTATCATTGTGAAGCAGAATTCACCAAATGTTGGATTGTTTAACCACTAATAGGGAACATGAGACGTGTCTAGGCCGTTGTAAGACGGATTAGTTTTATCCTATTAATGAGTAATCAGTGAAGTACAATCTGGCCGTTACTATGGTAATCCTGTTTAGTGCGAGAGGAACCGCAGGTTCAGATAATTGTATATGTGCCTGGTCGACAGGTCAATGGTGCGAAGATATCATTTGAGGGATTAAGACTGAGTGCCTCGAAGTCAGGACCGAGTTGAAATTTGTAACGGTACACTCTATCCTACACGTGGCTAGGCAAGTTTAT